GTTTCTTGGAAAGAATTTCTATGGGAAATTAACAAATGACCAGAGACGTACTAATAAGATATTCGAGTAAAGAATGTGCCACTCACATCATGTACAGATAATATAAAGAAAAAGATATTCGAGTAAAGAATGTGCCACTCACATCATGTACAGATAATATAAAGAAAAAGATATTCGAGTAAAGAATGTGCCACTCACATCATGTACAGATAATATAAAGAAAGATATTCGAGTAAAGAATGTGCCACTCACATCATGTACAGATAATATAAAGAAAAAAACCACTCCTTTGCACAACTGATTTTTATTATTATTATTTTATTGTTATTATTATTTAAATTAACTTCTGTTTTTATGACAGAATACTATTTCCTGAATAATGTTCATGCAAAGTACAACTAGGTTGCAATGAATTGCATACTTATGAGTAGTTGTAGATATTGTTAATAGATGTCGCCATACTACGTTGCCTCTTTTAACATATTTGACATTGGGGGTAAACAGTAAATTAATAAGTTATAATAATTCCAGCCCATTTATCAAACTACTTAATTACGAGCTTTGATAAGAAGATGTCCGAACAATCAGACGCTACACATGCTAAGCTAAAGAGAGACAATCAAAATTGTGAACGTAACAAACAGGTCTTTGATCTGTTGATAATGTCAATTGATGTGCATCCATTTCTGTTAGAATAAACATTCAAATATTTGTCTAAATCTTAATGCATTGCCACTTTAGGAGTCAATAGAATATTTTTTGATACATTTTGACAGACATATTATTAACATCACTGACCAAACGTTAGGCCTATTTGTACACATTGGTAAGATCTTTCTATTGAGCCTACACAAAATAATAAAACACTATACTGAAAAAATTTAGAATTACACTAAAATTAGTGTATTTTTATTCCAAATCAAACAAGTCAAGATAAACAAGAGTAGAAGAAGTGGTATAAATTGTAGCAGCAGAGCTTATCATTTCAGTTTCTATATAACTTGAATTTCTTTGCATTATGGTTGAAATAAAACTACATTCCAAACAATGAATAATAAGTCCTTATTTTCAGATGTCATGGCAAAAAAAAGAGTTTCCATGGCTCTCTCAAGATGATGATGGGACAGTTTTCTGTATCATGTGCAGGTATTCCAGGGATATTGACCATAGTTCTCAATTTGAAAAAGGTGTTGAAAGTTTTAAAACAACAGTATTTAGAGACCATGCTAATTCTAAGTGTGAGGCAGCATTGGCAGCTAAAAAAACTAAACCAGGAACCAACTTAGTTGAGAAGGCCTATGACTCAATTAACAGTTGAGAAAGAACGAGTGTTGAAACTGATAAGTAAGCTCTGCAGATGCATTAGCTCTTCATAATTGTCCTGTTAAAGACTTGGTACGGATTGTTGAATTTCAGTCAAAATATGGTGCTGACATGGGGGTACTGGCTATCGCAGCAATGTGCAAATATATTAGTGAAGCTGCACAACATGAAGTAGTTTCCAGGCTGAGTGGAGCACATTTTTACACCATTATGATGGATAGATCCACTAATACTGCTATACGTGAAGTAGAACTACTATATCTAAGGGCAGCTAAACATGGTGAAATACGTGTATTTTTGGTAGCTTGCAAAGTTGTTGACAAACCTAATAGTGAATCGATAAAAGCTGCAATATTAGAAGCATTAGATGATGAGTTAGGTATTACTGAGGAGGAATTTTACAAGCAAATTATAGGGTTTTCTGCTGATGGTGTAGCTGTACATTTTGGCATAAGGAACAGATTATCAAAGAAGTTTCTTGACCAGGCCTACTGGACTATTGCTGTCCACTGTGTTGCCCATAGGGCTGAATTGGCCATAAGGGACCAAACCAAAGATCTATCATTCTACAAAAAAATGTAAAGAACTTTTGTTTGGAATATACCTACCAGCAATCATTAAACAGGTCTGGATTGTTAAAGGCCAGGAAAAATATTTCAACATCTCATCATGTCCCCAAGAAGAATCAGAGGTGGGTACAACACACTCACCTGGTGGTTGAAAATATTTTGTTAGTACACCCAGCACTTCATGCTCATCTTGCTGCTGTAAACACAGACAAATAAATGTTCAACCACTGCTAAGTCTAAAGCCAGATTTTTTGGTTACTTTCTTTGTTTGACTTTACCTCAGTTATGCAACACTGATTTAAGAAGTACATCTAGCACATGAGTGCAACAATTACAGCTTTAAAAAGAAAAAATAAATAAATTGTGGCTCTTCACTGAGAAAATTACTGAAAGATAACACCGTAGAAAATTTTTCATTTTCTGATTTGCCTCTAGAAGGTGATGCCACACATTTTGAACAAGATTAGCAGACATCCTTAACAAGTTTGATCACTCATCTTAAAAAAAAAGATTTAGTGACCTTAAAAGGCCAGTTGTAAATGCTTTGTCAGTCTTTAATGTGAACACTTGGCCCCTACTAAAATTTGTTGATGATGAGATTAGCTTAATTTGTGTGCTTTTCCAGGTTTCCTTGGCAACCTACCTGCTGGACCTGTTACTGTAGAAGGTGTTACGTCTGGACGGAACTTGTTGAGGCAGCTTAAATATTCAGCATCTGTGTACGGTATTGGTTTACGGCAGAACCAATGCATTAACATTGAGTGATCTTGTTTTATCATTACAAGCTTATAGTGCAGCATCTACAAGTTGGTTCATACAAAGATCAGAAATGGACTAAAACCAAAGTCACCTTCACAAAGATGATGCAAGTTTTATGATCCAGCTCCAGCTTATCAGTTAGGGAGGAAAGATGTTGTTAGAGTTAGAAAACCCTCTGTCAAGCCATATGAACACAGGAATGGGAAGAAAATACCTGACCTTATTCAGAAGATGCAAATGGACTAAAACCAAAGTCACCTTCACAAAGATGATGCAAGTTTTATGATCCAGCTCCAGCTTATCAGTTAGGGAGGAAAGATGTTGTTAGAGTTAGAAAACCCTCTGTCAAGCCATATGAACACAGGAATGGGAAGAAAATACCTGACCTTATTCAGAAGATGCAAATTCATATTATTTTTATAAATTATTTAAAATGAACTGTACAATTCTGTTTCTGAGTCTAAAACACTTGCTGACTCCTCCTAATCTGAGTTAGAGTATAGTAAATCCTGGATAACTATTTTTGGATGGGTAACATGTTTGGTGGATAACTATTTTTGGATGGGTAACATGTTTGGTGGATAACTATTTTTGGGTGGATAACTATTTTTGGATGGGTAACATGTTGGGTGGATAACATGTTGGGTGGATAACATGTTGTAGAGCTATTTTATGAAAAGTGAACAAAAATATATCCTCTTTGAATCAAATTTTGAAGGTTATTCTGCAAAAGTAAATGTTTTTAAGTATTTGAAATGATCATTTCTGTTTTATTACAGATTATGTCATATATGTATACTGGGTCACACAGGATGCAAAATTAACTTTTATGGCTGCTGGAAATGGGGTCTGGTACTTCACAAAATTTGCCAGACCCCACAATTCAGTAAATTTTGAATGATCTAGTTAAACACAAGAACTATTCCATGATATTGGTTGGTAATAACTGGTAAACTGTTATTTTGTATTGACATGCAATAATAACAGGAAATAATGAACTGTCAAGTTTAAAGATACTTTAATTTGCATAACATTTTTACACAGAAAGCATAATTTGTGCAAGAGTGACCTGTTATCATCACAAGTCTTAGTTTACTTCTGATGTTGTGAAAGCTAATTTAAATGTTTAACTATTGTCTTGCAAGTACATGAGAACACCTATTCTTGAATAAAGAGTCTGAAGACCTGAATAGTCAGTGGATCATTGTTGGGTGGATAACTATTTTTGGTTGGTAACATGTTGGGTGGATAACTATTTTTGGATGGGTAACATGTTTGGTGGATAACTATTTTTGGATGGGTAACATGTTTGGTGGATAACTATTTTTGGATGGGTAACATGTTTGGTTTTATATATATTGTATTGCACACATATTGTGCTCATTAAGCCTATTTTAGAAGACCCATATCCTGACTTAATACCTTTTGAAAATTACCAAGCAACATGTTTATTTCAGTTACTTGCTAAAAGAAGATATACTTGTATATAATTTTTATCAGTCAAATACATTTTAATTATAGTGTTTTTCCCAGCTATCAAGACACATGTAAATTACAAGTATTTGTGTATATAATTCTTGAGTAACTGATAAAGCATTGGTTATACTCTATATGTGTGAATATAATACCTGTGTATTTACTAAAGTTAAAAGTTTTGTGAAGTACTGTTTGCATAAATGAATATATATATATATATCGTATTTAATATTTGTAATACAAAAATTAGCCTTAACCTTAGCCTTTTATTTCATCATAGATTTATTCTTGCTGCTTGTAATTCCTTTCTGATGCAAATATTAACTTAAATGCTTAGATAATCTTTATGCTTACATTATATATATATATATATATCTTATTTAATATACTGATTGACTGAATAATTTTAAATCAAATATTTTTTGGATTGATATACAATCTGAACAGAGGATGTCTATTGTTATTGTTCTAGGAAAGACCATGTTGTTCATGTCAAGAGAGTTGGTAACTTTGGATTACTGTGTGGAAATTGAACGGCCACAGTATTGTGGTCCTCGCCTAAATAGAGAAGACTTTATTGAAACTATTAAGGTAGGATACTAAAAAGTCAACTTTATTGATAAAATTGATCGTATTGTAGAATATATACTAAATCATAACTTCATTCCTCAACTATGTTAAAATAAGCATATTGCTTAAAAGGGTGGTGTATAAGCATGATTTTTATCTTTATCCTGTATATATAAAACAGCAACACAAATCTGGGAATAAACAGGGCCATCAGGTGTTATTGACAAAAACTTGTGTGTGATTACTGAAGAAAAAAAGCTTTAAAACTTCCGCTGGATATTTAACTAAGATGACAAGAATAATGTTAATGATTGGCAAGGTCTCACTTAGAATACTGTTATGGACATTTTCCAAAAATTATTGTTGTAGTCTTATGTTTTTCATATTTTAATGTAGATGTTTTGTGTTGTTTGCTAGAGGCATTTTTGGCATTACCCAATGATGATGATGTGCATCATACTGGATGGAACCATGGAAATACTGATGCATTATCTCAAAGACCGTGTATTAATGATGAATGTAACACTGTCAAAAGAGGGAAGCACAAGATAGTAAATTAACCTAAAGTACAACCACGGTGGAACGTCTACAAGTGATGATAAAGAACTAATGTGGTCCAACACTCAATTGAAAGATGCTCAGCAAACAGAAACCAGTCTCAAATGATCCAGGAAGAGGAGCTGTTGTAGACTGTATTTTTAGTACTTTAATTTAGATGTTTTGTATTGTTTGTTAGATGAGGTTTTGGTATGATGTAATGAGGATTTGACATGACATTTCAAATTTGCTAGACTTAAATAAATAAATTGTAATATTATAAAAATACCAGTCATTTATTGAGTCAGCCAATCAGGCAGCATATTAGTTAGTCATTTCAGTATCCTGCAGTAAATATAAGAGGAAATTCAACAAGTGAGTGGCTATTAAGTTTTAGTTCTGAGTTAGGTCTATTCCATGGTTATTGTTAATTCACAAAACCATGTAAAATTAAACTTTCAGTTGAAAGAAAGAAAGTACTTTACTCTTCGTTAAATGGCTTGCCATTATTTTTACTGAATAATAAAAAAAAACCTTGCCAATGATAGAAACGGATATAACAATAACAGGATGCTGTAAAAATTCCAGAGATGGACTATTAGAATAATATATAACTTAAGTACAATTAATCACTGTTATATGTTCTTTCACAATATTTGTAGCTACATATATATGTAGTGAAGTAAGTTCTTGTATACAAAAGTTTACTTAATGTTTAATACTGGCACTGGTTCGATTTTATAAATAACAAAATAAAAATTAAATTTTTGACGCAAGCAGTTGCTTGAACTTAATAAACAACAACAATATAATTATTTGTGTGAAATAAAGGCAAAATGATTGTAAAGCATAAGTATAGTAAAGGGAAGGTCTATATATAAACACCTAATAGCCAAAACTTTTATTTAAAATAGATTAGCTTTATAGTTATGCAGTTTGTTTTACGATGTTATCTCTTTTTAACTTAAAATTTATACATAAGGTATAATTTATTCAATGTTTACAGGGCTTTGATTTAACATGTTTAATGTGGTAGCCAGCTGGACAAGTAGAGTCAGAAATTTACTAGCCCTGAGGGATTTCTTCTAGCCCATCACAAAAGGTTAGCCCTATTGCAATGATGTAATCAGGTTTCTTGAAGCAAAGTTACTTAGTTGATTTTAAAACATTTTGCTGTTGAATATTACAACTTGAAAAAAAAAATTATAACACTTTACTTTTAATGTTCAGTATTTTAGTTTCAAATCCTGTGTTTATTACTTATATGAATGTTTTTTTTTATAAAAAAGAAGTTTCTGATTACAATTTAAAGATTATTATATGACTTAAACCTTAAACATAAAGATACTTTATAATGTTATTCTATGATCATTAAAGAAAATGTGAGTGTTTTCTTATAGCAAAGACACATAGGGCTATCTGCTCAGTCCACCAATGGGGAATCAAACCCCTGATTTTAGCATTGTAAATCCAAAGACTTACCGCTGTCCCATTGGGGGAACAGAAAATGTGACCTAACATTTAAACAAATATCTTACTTCCAATCTATTCAAGAGGCTACAAATTTTGTATATTAAACAATAACAGTCATTCATACACAATAAAGATCATTCATGAATCAGAAGGAAATGAAATACACACACAAATATTTAACAAAGAAAAGATTGAAAAGATCATGGAAGTATTTAAACTTAAATAACCTTACTAATCTTCCAACAAATGAATTCCAGCACTTGTGCAGTACAATCATGAGGATACAAATAGAGTTAAAAACAACCTTGAAAAACTTTCAACTGATATTATTGCTTTACCTTTTCATTTAGGTAAAAGGGCTTTTAACAGATGATAACATTTTCCTAAACTGAAAATGTATTTCCAATAGATACTTACCTTCTCTCACAAAGTAGCTTTTCTCAACTAGTACTGCTCTCTATCAGTGCAAATTTTTAACTTCTGCATATCCACATGTAAATGATTATGCAGCAGCTCTCCACCAATAGGAGCACGACACATCCCCTATCATAACCAGTTCCCTCTCCACAGTTGCACTCGTTAATCACTTCGAGATTGGTCATAGGACCTACACTA